TAAGAAACATTTGAGAAATACCATAGTTCAGTTGTTAGAAAAAATTATATTGAAATAACACATAAGTCTTAATCCTCAAAGACTTGTAGGAAAAAAGGAGAAAGGAAAAGAATATTTTACATTCTATCACTTAATATGAAGAGGAAATGTTGCATCTCCCATATTGGGTGTTTTATCAGAAATGGAAAATGTGGGGCTGGGTCTGAGGCTCAGCAGTAGCACACTTGCCTGGCATGTGTGAGGCACGGGGTTCGATTCTCAGCACCACATATAAATAAATAAAATAAAGGTCTATCAACAACTAAACAATATATTAAAAAATATTTTTTAAAACGGGAAATGTGTTTTTACTTACTAAAATCATAACAAGAAACCAATCCAGTCTTCCTTTAAAAATACTCAAGTGTTTCATTTCAAGGACACACTGCTTCATCCAGAAGTTAAGCTTTTGGTTGGTTTTTAGAATACTACATATTTTTATGGCATTTTGAATAAAGCTGAGCAAAATAGGAAGGAATCTCTTTCTACCTCATTTGCTGGTTTTGAGGACTGTCTAAAACTCATGAGTTTTGATGGATAAGATTAATGAGACCACATAGTGTTAAGCACCTTGGACTTTCTGAACAAAGGGCTTTTAGAAGAACAAAGTATCATTATTAATGACACATCATTTACAGTTTTCATCAGTAATGTAAGGTTTCATCCACTTTAATGGGAACTCAGTTAAGAGATCCATGTGGAGGGCAAGTCTATTAGCTAAGGTTCTTGACAGTAATACCTTTTGCTTCTAAGGAAAAAGATAAATCACACTCAAATTGATCAAAAAGACAAGCTGAGGGGTTCAGAAGGAGGTGAGCCACTATCCACTTACCGAATTTCTGAAAGCCTTTTCATCAGAGTCCAGCTGGTGAGCCCTGCCCTCCGGGATGGGTTTCCTTAGCAGCCTATCCCTCACCTTCTAGGTACCCTTCGGCCTAGAAAAATGCCTTGTGCATCTTCCCCTTTTATTCTTCCTCTCCTTTCTCTCTAGAGCCTCTAAAGTGTCTAAACTGCCTATGTTTGATTCTATCACCTTAGGACTTTTCTCTGTCCCATGTGAGCTGGGACAGCCAGGTACCTTTTTTTTGGGGGGGGGGGTACTGGGAATTGAATTCAGAGGTGCTTAATCACGGAGCTATAACCTCAGCCCCTTATTTATTTATTTAGTGTGAGATAGGGGTCTTGCTAAGTTGCTTAGGGCCATGCTAAATTCCTAAGGCTGACTTTGAACCTGTGATCCTCCTGCCTTGGCCTCCTGAGCTGTTAGGATTACAGGCCTGCACTACTGCACCTGGCCAGGTACTTTAAATAAAGGAATGCTGGCCTGGTCCAATGACCTAATTGACATGAGGATCACTAATAATGACCCTTCTAACACAAGGTGGCGAAGCAGCAAGGAAATATTTTTTCCTGAATACACATTTTTATTCTTATCAGGAAAATCATGGAGGACACCTGTACACATAGCATCAATAATTAGAAAATTGTTAGAAATTTTGCAAATTCTTTATAAAGTGCTGCTTCATGTCAGATCTCTTTGGGACCTTAATGTGTTTCAGTCAGATTTGCTAAGACCTTTTTAATGACTCTTTAAAAACAACCCTGTTTTTGTTGGAGGGGAAATAAGAGAAGTCTCCTAGAGAAAATAATAATAAAGTTAATTTTTAAAAATCGCCATCTAAAATTAACTAAATTTTTATGTAAAGAAAAAATGTAATAAACTTGGGGTGCAAAGAAATGTCCAATAAAAATAAAGGAAGAGAGAATTTATTTTTATTATATTAACTGATGACTTGCTCCCAAGGGTTTATGTGAAACTGGTTGATGACATTGTGGCTCTATCAACAAACCTCTCTTGAGAAGTTATTAGAGCTATCCAAGATTATTGAGGTCACTAATGACGTGAAGAGGGCAAACTGAAAAGTGAGTGTATATCCATATATACACATATATGGATATGTGTGTGTGTATTTGCTGATATTTATTTATTTATTTATTTATACTGAGGCTTAAAACCAGGGCCTCACATGCTAGGGAAGTGCTCTACCAGTAAGCTTCATCCTCAGGCCTTTTAAAAAATTTTTATTTTAACACAGGGTCTCAGTAAGTTGCTGAGGCTAGCCTATAACTTGTGATCATCCTGCTTCAGTCTCCCAAATTGCTGAGAGTACAGGAGTATATCACTGACCAGCCTGTCTTTGATTTCTAACAATTGTGTAGCCTGCAAATTGTTTAGTTGATTTGATTCTGTTTTGGGATTTCTCACTGACTACTTTACTCTCTTCTGCTTGTACTTTTATTTTACAAGGTAGGTCAAAGCTCATCTCCAGTCCAATTGTGAAGTTCACTCTTTTCTAACTCATTCTTAGAAAACATACCTGTGGCTAGGGAATGTTTACTGGGCAACATGGAAATTCAATGCCAATCAGAGCCCTGAAGTACCAGACAAAATGCTATACGGTACAGAGATAACTGCATTTCTAAAAATTATTTATTTACTTATTTTGTAGTGCTGGGGATGAATCCCAGGGCTTCATGAGTGCTAGACAAGTACTCTAGCACTGAGTAATAGCTCCAACCCTCTAGACTGTTGTACTCTTAAAAGTTTCTGCTGCTTTGTAGTCCCAAATACACACACAAAAAAAACGATTGCATTTCATGATTTGAGTAAAATGTAGAAGCAAGACTATTATCACATTCTTTAATAACTTCTAATACTAAAATTTTTAAAATGTCACTCACATCTGAGGTGGTCATGGCTCAGTAGTAGAGTGCTTGCTTAGCATGCACAAAGTCCTGGGTTCAATCCTCGGCACCACATAAAAATAAATAAAATAAAGACATTTGTATTCAACTGTAACTAAAAAATAAATATTTTTTTAAAATGCCAATCACATCTATCAAATTCAAATAATCGTTGAGAATCATCTAATTCATGTACATGATATTGATATAAGTCAAATTCTATTTTAGGAGCTTAACAATGAAAGATTGAGTTCACTTGGAACTTTATTCTGAAAGATGATTTTCTTGTTGCAATATAAATCCAATATTAACAAGTGGGGAAAATGGTTGGTACTGTGTGTACCTTTAAGATCATAGTTCAACAGAATTAAGCAAACTTGATAACAAAGACAAACATAACCTTTATTCTCTTTCAAAAACCCAGAAAACAGGGCATGGAATTATACTCATTAACATTAATCAGAATATCTTAAGTTTTGTGCTCTAATTTAAACCTGTATAGTAATAGACTATTCTAAAAAGCAAAATACATGTTTTCTCTCAACTACTTGGCAGAAAAATTGTAAATTCTCTTATCCAACATAGAGGAGGACTGGGTTAGGGAACTGCTCAAATATTGATAATAAATAAAAATTACTAGAAGAACACGTTTTCACAGCCTAAAATCACAATAATTGATTTGACAATCAAAGTGTGTCACATTCAGAAGGTGGGAAGCTAACACATTGGAATTACTGAATCATTTCTTGTATATATATATATAAAAATAATGGGACAGAATATCCAAGGCAGATATCAATGACATACATGCATGCTGTCCATCCATCAGTAATTGTCAAAGAACTAGAAGAGTATAATAAAAACAATGTGAACTATTTAATACAATTCAATATTTGACTACTAAAAACAATACATTCTTCAAGATCTTGTACTATCTTGAAGGAATCAGAACAAACAGTACTGGCTGGAGAATAGCTGTAATAGAGCATGCCCTGGAGAGTTCTGACAAATGCCAAATAACTATTTGCTCTCAGCCAATAAAATCTTTAATGATATATCACTTTTGCCAGTTTAAGTTGTTTTGCCATAAAAATTTTAAGTAAAAATATGCTACTTTTTAAAATAAATTTAAACATACTGGTTTATTCTAGTTAATCAATAGTCAACAGAATGATTTTAGCATGATCTCAAAGGTTTAAATTAATCCTAAGATTCTAGTTTTCGTATAAGATTTTTTTCTTCAACATTCTATCCAAACATGATTATTAGAAACAAAAGTTTCATTTGAGAAAATAAATTTAGCACCCCACCCCTTTTCCCCTTAAGCATGGAAAGAGAAATTCAGATGACAAAGAGGACTGAGCAAGTCAGGAGACACAGATGTGACTTTAGGGAATCTGTTTTCCCTCTAATATTCCTTCCAGCTCTCCGATTCTAAGGTTAAAACATCCCCTCTGAGCTGTACAAACTGGCCGGGCATTTTCAAGTCTCTACACAGTATATGGCAATTTGTTTTTACACTCAAACAGTAAATGAGTGGACATCATATGTATGCTAACTCATTTTCTAGAGATAGCAATTTTGTTCATTCATTCCACAAATCGAAAGCTTCCACTGTTTACAAGAGTGCTAGACCAAACTTGAACATTTTGAGTGTCACTGCTCCTGGGAACAAATTACTTCCTGAAAAACTGAACTCAGGTGACCGCTTTAGGCCCAACCTAGTTCAGTGTGATGACTCCCATATTCGAGGGAATTGAGGAATCTTCTGAGGAGCTTGTTAAAAGGCAGCGTCAAGGGAGGGGATCAACCTAGTCTTACTGTGTTGGAATGTCTGGGGTTGGAGCCTCCTAATCTACGTACATTTATAAAATGTATGTTCTCCTCACCCCTCCTTGCCTCTGCAGGATATAAGTGGGCCTCACTCTCTATCCCACCTTACAGCCGTCCCCGATCCCTTGCCAAAAAAAAAAAAAAAAAGAAAAAGAAAGAAAGAAAAAGAAACCACCTGTACTGTAGTGGCAAAAGCTCCGGAAGCAACTCAGGAGCCAGTTGTTGGCTGCCTGCTCTTAATGATTTATTTAATACCGCTAGGTCTCATCCCTTGGTCTGATAGAGGTTAACAAGGAGTATCTGAGGTTCTTTCCACTCTGGAATGCTACAGAATTTAAGAACCTGAACTGTCAGCTTAGTAAATCATGAAGGAGTATTTGCACTCTGCAGCCCGAACACCCCAGCAGGAATCTTGCAGCCCCTGGGGAAAAAAGGGTTAATTCCTTTCTCTGCGCCGCTCATCCACAACAGGTGGCAAGGTGAGATGAGCTTGAGATTGGGCCAAAAGCAGCCCACAAGACTTTTGGCAAGAAGCAGGAGGGGGTTTTTGAAAGGAGACATCACTCGTCGTCGTCGTCCTCCTCATTCTGGTCCTGATAGCGAATGTAGACCACCAGCATGACAAAACCCATGAGGATGCAGAGGGAGCCGACCACCAGATAGGCGATACCCAGGAAAGGATTCTTGCCACCCATCCACGAGATATTGCTGAAGATGATGAGCTTGTGGCCGCCGAAGACGCGCACTGGGTAGTTGTAAGTGATGTTGACGCGGTAGGCGCCCCGGGGCAGCCCTGCGGTGTAGTTGCCCTGGCGGATGCGCGCGTACAGCTTGCGGAACGTGGGCAGCGCCGCGGTGCGCATCCACACCACGAAGTCCTGGTTGATGAAGCCCGTGTTGTTGGGGTCGGGGCTGAGCTCGTACACCGGCCGGTGCCAGTTGGGCGGGGGCGCCGTGCCGCGGAAGGCCAGCGCCAGGCTGCCATTCACCAGCGGCGGGTTGTGGAACTTGACGTGGTAGTCGGTCCACCAGGCGATGGCGGCGCGATCGAGTGGCACCTCGACGTAGGGCCCGCCTGGCCGGCGCTGGTGCCACAGCGAGAAGGAGTCATTGAAGAGGCTGTTGGAGATGGCGCCGCAGGGCGCGATGGGCAGGCCGGTCGCGCTGAACTGGTAGGGGGCGCACTCGTTGACCGGGTTGTGCAACGCGCTCGGCAGCCCGCTCAGCTGCGCGTCGTCGCGGGACACGCCATAGCGGCGGTTGTTCTGGTAGAAGTTGGTCAGCTCATAGTAGAGGTAGACGGGGCCCGGGAAGAGCTCGGGCAGCGAGAAGTACCAGGCGCACGAGCAATTAGGCGGCGGCGCGCGGCCCTGGCCTTCGGCAGCGCACACAGAGCAGTTGCCGGTGCCTGGGTCGCCAGTGTAGTCGTACTCGAGCTCCTTGATGCCGTTGGAAGAGTAGTAGAGGCCCAGGCCCAGGCCGATGAAGGCCAGGCCCGCGCAAAAGAAGAGCGGTAGCGTGATGCTGGCGGATAGCAGCGGCTGCCAGGCCGGGAGGCGCTGCTGCGTGAACGCGGTGTTGTCCGGCTGGTGGGCGCCCCGGGCCGTGGCGCTCCAGGTCATGGCGGCCGCGCAGGGAGCGACGAACCGACCAGAGAAGGGTCGCTCAGGTGGGGCCAGCCGCGGGGCTCCTCCCTCTCGGCGCTGGGCTAGCCCGAGGGCTACTGCCCGATCCGGTTTCCCGCCTGCTCAGGTGAGTTTTGGCTCCGGCCCCGCCTCCGTCTCCGTCAGACTCACACAGGTGAGTCTGAGTTCCAGGTTCCAGGACCAGACCTCTCAGCTACGCCGCACCCCAGGTGCTCCGGGCCCGCTCCGCCCCAGCGGGGAACCGGGAGCCGCGCCCCGCCCCTTCCGAGGTGAGCGGGCCTCACCCCACCTGCCTGGCCCAGGCTCGCGTTTCCTCTCCGTCGAGCTTTGTCCCGGCGCCTGCTCCTTCTCTCCCGAGGTGAGTGGCGGCCTCAGGCTGCTTCTGAGTGGTTCATACCTTGCTTAGGTACCACCTTCCCTTCCGCATTTCAGGTTGATTACAAGTCCTGAGCCAGTTTTCCCGAAATCACCAGTGCATCAGCCTGGGGCAGAAAGTTGCACTGAGAGATTGCACCGTGGTGCCTGAGGCTGGAAGATCTCAGGTTGTAATCCCTTTATATTTAGGAGGAGGGCTGACTGTAGATCCTTGTGTCTTTGTAGGTTAATTTACCGACCCCCTTTCACTCAGTTTCCAGCCACAAATTGTAGAGCCCAGGGAATTAAGCTATGGCAAATCTGTTTCACGTTCAACACCTGCATTCAAATTCTAGTTTTTTTTTGTTGTTGTTGTTGTTGTTGTTTTAAGGGAAAATGATTTTCTGGCCAGATGTCCCAATCTGGCTGTGTAACTAGGAAAGGTGGAAAGTTCTCTAAAAATAAAATGACCCTTGAAAAAGACTCGAGAGGTTCACAGCCTTTAAATATCTTTCTAGCTGGTGGAAAAACCACCAGGGAAAAAAATGAGCAGGACCACATGTGATTTCTTTTTCTTTTCAGATTATTTGTGTGACTGGAGAAAGGCCTGATCCAAGGTCCTAGGGGACCTAGCTGCTATCCACAGTCAAGGACGTTTGGAATGTTTGGCCTAAGGAGGAACTAACTACAAGGATTTATGGATATATAAGAACTCTAATTAACTCTGAGGCTTGCCTGGGATTTTGGCTTTTGTGTCTAGGTTGGTACAACACACACTTGGGGGTCAGGGGCCATTTCATTTTGTGTTACATCCTTCCTAGGTAGTGAAGTGTTCATACTTCTCCTCTAGTCCATAAAATTCAAATAACTTAAATGTTTTCTCTATAGTATTTCCATACCTAGTATAATAAATTGCATTCAGGAATCAGTCAAAATCCATTGAAACTTGGAAAGTTAAAATCTTCATTAAACAATAGGATTTTTTTTCTTTAAATGCATCTTCCCAGTGCTGGACAATGCAGAAGACAGAAGAAAATTAGACTGAAAAGGATCCTGGACCTCAAAGCATTCACAGTCTGATAGTATATAAATAATATAAGTATACATTGCTTAGGAGTGAGAAACAATCAAAGTAGGCAATAGCCAGTGTATAATCAAAGTGTATAGCCAAATTGTGCTTTACATGAGTCACACTAAAATTAAAAACTAGTATCATTTTAATAATGGAAAATTGATTCTGTTTTGTTGAATGAGTGCAGATTGGAAGCTTTAGCAACTAGAGAATACTGAGGGAAAGCCAAGTGACTTGAATCTCACTTCTTATACTCTAAGAAAGAAAATCCAACATTGTCAATAATTTCTCATAATATGATTCATTCTCCATTTCACCTTTTTTGTTGTTGCTGTCAATAAGATAAAATAATGAACAGTTCTACCCACCTTATATCATTGAATTGCCAGTTTGCTTGATACAGTCTCCAAGAAGGAATTCAATTCTTACAACTTTATCTAGCAGATCCTAAGTCCACCAACTGCATGGCCACCACACCCCTAAAAGTATAAGCCTTCCTGTTCAGCTCAGTGCCTGTCTTTCTTTTCTCCTCTCCCTCGTACCTAAAGGCATTAGTTTATTCATTCCACAAATTAGGGTAATGCAAAGTTCCAAAGTAAAAAAGAGAAGAGTATTTCAAGACAGAGAATGGTCAACAGGATTTTTAAGCACATTAACTGAGGGTTCAAGTAAGATAAGAAATAAGAAAGAGCCATTGACTTTGATTTCTGTGGGAGCATTTAGGGTGATGGAGTAGGAGTGTTAGTCAACTTTTTATTGCTGTGACTAAAAGACCTGACATGAGCAACTTAGAGGAGGAAAATTTATTCTGGACTCATGGTTTTCAGAAGTTCAATCCATGATCACTAACTTCATTGCTTGGGGTCCAAGCACATCATGGCTGAAGGGTGTGGCAGAGGGGATGATGGTAAGGAAGCATAGGCTGTAGGAAGCACTGAGAGGAGGAGGACTGGGAGAAGGAACCAGCCAGGGATACATAAAGGGATACTGGCAATTTGATCTAGGGGAATCCTACAGCTCAGACTGGAGACAGCAAATGTCTGAACAAACCCAGCTTATAAGGGTTTTCAGGGCAGGTGGATTGGAAGCATAAAGCTTCAAGACATTGTGTCCTGTGGAGTGATGGCTCAAGTGACAGATCTTAGTATGTAAGCCCAATGACAAAGAAAATGAAACTAAGCTGGTGGCTTAGAAGAAAACAATGTGACCAGTAGGCTGGTGATGTGAGTGGGCAAGGGGCATAAAAGCTGGAAGGGAAAAAGCACTGGTATGAGATGGATATTAAAGATTTTGGAGGTGAAGCAGTGCTGAGGCCTGTGTGTTCTCAGATTCACATCTGCAGATTCATTGAATTTTAGATTGAAAATATTTGAAGAAAAATATTGTGTCTGTACTGAACATGTATAGTTTTATCTTGTTATTACTCTCCAAACAATATAGTATGCCAACCATTTACATTCCATTAGATATTATTAAAAATCTAGAGATGAGAATGTGCATAGGTTATATGCAGTTACTGTACCATTTTCTATAAGATACTTGAGCATCTCCAAATTTTGATATCCTCCCAGGGAACAAGGGATGACTGTTCATATTTCCTCTACTGACTCACAAGTTCTGGGAGGTTAAAGACTGATACATATTGTCATGTCCCTCAGAGTTCATTGTATGATGAAGATTTTGACCTTATGTCTTTCATTTTATTATACATGCTATCATGCTATTAAAGGATCCGTGGATCATGTAAACTTTTTCAGTACCGATAAAGTAAAGAAACAAGCCAGGCATGGTGGTGTACACCTATTATCCCAGAAACTCAGAGGGCTAAAGCAGAAGAATCTCAAGTTCAAGGCCAGCCTGGGCAACTTAGTGAGACCTTGTCTCAAAATAAACATTTTTAAAAGGACTGAAGATATAGCTCAGTGATAGAATGCGTGCCTAGCATGGGTGAGGACCTGGGTTCAATCCCCAGTATGCAAAAAGAAAAGAAAAAAAGTAAAGTTCATTTATTCTAAACAATTTTTTTATTGTATCAGTATTATTAACAGGGAAAAGGAAGGAAAAAGGCATTTCTAAACTAAGTGCTCATAAAATCACTTTGTTTTAAAATTTTATCTTTTGAATTTCATCCATATAAATATTTAATTTTTAATTGGTTATAATTATGATAAAATACAATTATTATTTCATTCTACTTGTCTAATTGCCTACTTTTGGAACGATAAGGAATGAAATCAATATTTGTCATGTTTCTCTTGTGTTTTTATTACACACACACACACACATTACTTTTCAGTGCTCAGGATGGAACCCAGGACCTTGTGCCTGCTGGGCAAAGGCTCCATCACAGAGCAACATCCCCAAACTGTCTTTATAATAAAATAGTTCCATAACTCATGGTCCTATCATATTTCACTGCTGTTATATTGCTGAATGTGTAGATTATTTTCTATATTTCAGTACTCCAAGAAATGTGGTTTTGAGCATTTCTATGATTCGAATTTTTCTTTTAGACTTTTTTCCTTAAGTTAAAACTTCTGAAAGTAGGGAGGAAAGGAGCTTAAAAGTCAAACTTTAAAAATACTACTAGTTTTTTAAACTGCCATAGCAATGTACAGAATATACTACTTTCACCAAAATTTTGCCATAAAAACCAATTGCTAACAAAGAAATTATATTTAGTCAATGCGAGTAAATTATCAGATACTAGATGAATGCTGTAGCATTGGGGAATGCTGGTCCTGCATTAAAGGAAGGTAAAATTTTAGATTTAAGAAATAACTGTGTGATCCTGGTCAAATTGCTTAATTTCTCTAATCTCATTATTGCTTTTCTGTATGAATATGTTTGCCAAAATGACAGTTAATATATCTTTCAATATAAGACTTCTTTCTGTTTTTAGTCATCTCAAGGGGTCTTCCTTTTAATGACTCATTGAATAGTTAATATTTATTGAGTACCTTCTGTAAGCCGGTCATTTAAAAAGTTCTTTTTGATACTGAAGATTGAACTCAGTGATACTTTACCACTGAGCTACATCCCTAGCCCTTTTTATTTTTTATTTTGAGATAGAGTTTCACTAAGTTGCTATTTTTTATTTTGAGATAGAGTTTCACTAAGTTACTATTTTTTTATTTTGAGATAGAGTTTCACTAAATTGCTTAGGACCTTGCTGAATTGCTGAGGCTGGTCTCAAACTTGCAATTCTGCTGCCTCAGCCTCCCGAGTTGCTGGGATTACAGGTGTGCACCACAGCGCCTGGCACTAACCATTCTTTAAGCACTTGACATATTTTATCTCATCTAATTCACATTACAAACCATTTTGGTCAGTACAGTTATCATACCCAGTGTACTGATGCAGAACCAAGGTTTAGGCTAATGCAATAGAGGCTGCCCAAGTTCTCATAGTGGTATGCAGAGGAAGGACGCAGAATTCAGTTTAATTCCAGTGTCCTTCATTTTAAACCACCTTGGCATATTTCCTCCTAAAAAAAACTCAAAAGACTTCAACCTCAAACCAATTTTTTTTTGTGTTGCAGTTCTCCTCTTATATCCTAAAGTTAG